GGGTTGCGGAGCTGCCTGCAGTTGGGCGCCCAGGGGAGTTTCTGGAAGCTGAGCCTGAGGCCTATAAATGCCGAAGCTGGTAAGTCACGGAGCGTGGAGCACGACGCGGAGGGGACGTGCCTCCTCTTTCGGAGCAGGAGAAGGAGAAAAGGCTTTTGTGGCTGTTCTTAGGCACAGCACAGCGTGCTTGGCTTTCCTCGGCTCCGCTCTTCCTTTCCTTGGGTGTTTGAGCTCACTGCTGTTCTCTTTTCCTGTCTCTGGCTTTATCCAGGCATCTCCAACAACAACAAAAAAAAAAAGCAAGAATGGTTGTTTTCCTTGGCGGATGTAGAGCCTGCTGGAGAGAAGGAGGAAGGGACACGTGTGGCCACGTCTCCTACAGCAAAGAGCAGACTCTCTGCGTGCGCTGCAGCGCGCGTGGCTGCGGAGCGGGCTCGCGAGGGAGGCGATGGGCGCGCGGGTCTGCGCCCCACTGCTTGCCCCAGAGCCAAAAGTAATTGCAGCTYGGGCTTCATCAGGTATTAAGAGATTTCCTAGAGATTTCGGTTTGCAGCCGAGCTGTTCYCAGGCATAAAACTGAATTGTAGAAGCTCAACATTTCTCTAAATGGCTTCGTGCAGCTCCTGCACGAGTCGTGTGCGGTTTTGTTTACAGAGCTGAAGCAGGTTACTCGGTTGCGGCAGCTTGAACTGGACACCGTGCTAATATTTCTCCAGCACGTCCGTGGGGGCCTGGCTAGCAGGCTTTGCATAGCTGTGTTTTGTAAGGCCTGCTGCCGTGAGCCCGAGGCGTCTCCAAGCACAGTGCTGCCCACAGCTCACTCCTCGCTTCGGCACACGCTGGTAGCACTTGCGTTTGTGGCCCTTTGCATTTGTGGCCGTTCGTAGCCGTTGGCATTTCTGGCCATTTGTGGCCGTTTGCGTTTGTGGCCATTTGCGGGCAGGGGCGCTGAGGAGCATGTGCGGCTGCGCTCCGTGCGGTGCCGGAGCCACAGGAGCGGGCGTGYGCCTTGGGCCACGCAGGCAACAGGACAGCGTCTGCCGGAGAAAAGTGGGAGAGAAGGCGGCCGGGAATTGGGAGCAGATGCTTCGGAGAACTCCCTGAGCAGCACAACAACATGTGTTTGTGGCTCGTGCGTGCCTGGGCGCGAGGCTTTGCCCTGCGCCCTCACCTGCGAGGCGATGAAACGCGTGGCGCTCGGAGCCRCAGCTGGAGACGGCAGGGCCGGCAGGGGGGTCCTTCTCTCCGGGATTCGGGAACATCTCCCGAGGTTTACGGCCTCGTATGCCGGTGGCCAGGAGCCGTGCGGCAGGGCCGGGCGCTGGCCCCTCTCCGCGCTCCTCCAGCCCCGTGTTACGTGGCGGCGRCCGCCCCCTGCGCGCGCTCCCGGGTCTTCCAGCTGCTGCTGATTAAGGTGCCGGCCCCTCCGCTTCCCGAGCGCTCCACTCCGCTCCGCGCGGGGCCGGGACGCGCGGCCTCCGCCCCGGCAGCGCCGCCAGCCCGGCCACCCCCATCCCCGTATAGTGGGGCGCGGGGGTTGCGCCTCGGCCCCGCCGCCGGTGTCCGCTCGGGAGCGGGATCCAGCTGCCTGCAGGCTGAGGTCATGTTGCCCTGGAAACAGAAGGGAAACACTCCGGCATTCCCCGCAGAATCACTGCGTGCGGCGTAGGCCAAAGTAATTAAAAGTTGGGCCATATGGGCTCTTGGATGGAAAGGGAAAAAAAAAATTGGAGCGTGCAAGATGGAAATTGAGTTGTTCCTATTTACAGTACTGCAAATCCGCTTGTTTTCCTGATGGGCTGCACAGAGAGGCCTGCACAAAGGGCCCCCAGGCCCTCGGGGTGTGCACCCCACAGCAGCCTGCCCCCAAGCCCCTGCCGCAGGCAGCCTGCGCCGAGAGCCGCCCGGGAAGGCGCCTCCCTGGGCCGCRGGAATCCGGGAATGAGGGCGGCTTCCAAAAATTCCCAAATCAGGAGGAGCAGCAACCAGCTCCATGACCTCCAAAGCAGGGGAGGAAAAGCGTGTTGGTTAAGCAGAAAGGTGACGTTCAGTTGATTCCAAGTATGTCACTTCAGCCTGAGTGTTTGGCATTTCTTTCTTTTCTTCTTAATATGAGCTGTGAAAGARAAGTTACTTGAGCTGAAAAATGACACTGAGTGCGCCAAATGGGAGTATATAGATAATATCTTTTTTATTTTTCCTCAGTTATCTCCAAACCAGGAAGCTAATTGAAAGGAAGGCTTTTTATTTTGAAGGCATCGGCATTACTTGACAGGGAAGTTCCCTGGCCAGCACTGCTCGCGTAGGACAGAGCGGGTTTGGTCTTTTTGTGCCGTTATTAGCCACCCTTTTCCTTTACAGCAGACTTTCCGTGGCRCATGAGCCCCGTGTGCAGGTGAGGCTCTGCCTGGGTTTTCAGTCCAACACGTTCCCAGCGGCTCCCGTTGCCGAATAGGAGCCACTTGCAGRCCTTTGAGCAGGGCAGGGTCCGTCGCCGCGTGGAAGGAGCCTGGGCTCCCTGCTACAGAGGATGCAGAGAAGCTGCAGGAAATGCCAGCAGGCTCTTTAGTGATGTTACTGTATTTATTTTGAAGTGTGGTAGGGCCCCGATGTATCAATCGCTCACATTGCACATGAGCATCCTGTACAGAAAGATATTTCAAATAATATATATGAATGCAAACGTCAGACATCTTAAAATGATTYTTATATATATTTTTTTCTTATATGGAAGCTTCATACAAGTCAAAGATGAGAACAGGTTTTTAGTGGATATTAATGGGCCAAATTAAGACCAATTATTTTGTACCTTAATGTTCTTCAGTGAAATCCTAGGGTGGAGGGTTGGTTTTGAGCTGTTCTCTAAATCTGGCGGTGTGAGCATTAGATGTGTGCTCAGAGTTACAAGCAATTAAGTTTTACGTCTTGCAAGCCAAGAGTGGATGAAAAATAATGAAGGAAAGAAATGACTTGAAGTTATTGCATTTAAAATAAACATATTTCGAGTGCAGAGTTTGCATAATAGTTGCTTGCCGGGGTTGCTTAATGGTCTATAAAGACTTGCCTGAACTTCTTAATTACAGGCAATATTCTATTCTTCGTGTTATCTAAAGATACTTGATGAGGTAGGTCTTGTTCTTTGACCTGTCACCAAGTTCTCCCAGCCATAATCTCTGAATTAATGCTCATCCTGCAGCTTAATCYATCATGATATAAATAAATCCCACAGTCCTCTCTACTGCCTTCATTTTCCCGAAGGAAGCCCATTATTTGCCCATCCAGTCTGTACCCAAATAAATGCATTCTTGTGGGTTTGGGATGTCAGAATGGCCATTCCTGCTGCCGCATGTGGTCTCCCTGGTATTCCTGCTTCTTTTGGAGCGCTGGGAGGTTTGTGGGAGCTCCGTAGCTGGCCGTGTCCCTGCAGGCAGCGGCAGCGCTGGGGGCTCTGCCGAGCGCCGCTCCGGCCTCCGGCACTGCGGGCGCCTTGGGAACGTCGCTGTGYGGACGCGGCTGCCCACGGGGGCCCGGCCCATGGCAGGCGCTGCTGCCACCGCATCCCCAGCCTGTCTGGGAAGCAGAAAAACGATTCCGTACTTGCGCCTGACTTTTATTTGCTCTCTGGTAAAGCAAAGACAGCATTTTTCTTAGGGAAGAGGTGTTTGCTTTGGTGGTTGCTTTGATATTTTATTTTATTTTATTTTATTTTATTTTATTTTATTTTATTTTATTTTATTTTATTTTATTTTATTTTATTTTATTTTATTTTATTTTATTTNATTTTATTTTATTTTATTTTATTTTATTTTATTTTATTTTATTTTATTTTATTTTATTTTATTTTATTTTATTTTATTTTATTTTATTTTATTTTTTGTTGCCTCGCTGCGCATGAAGAAGGGCGCAGCTCGGCCGGGCGCCGAGCGAGGTCCGGAGTGCAGGGAGCTGCAGCCGGAGCCCAAGCGGGGCCGAGGCCATTCATGAGCAGCCTGAGCCTCTGGCCCCCCTCCCTGCCGCTCCGCTCTGCTCCATCCTCCTCCTCCTCCTCCTTGTTGCCTGCCCGAGAGGAAGTAGCACATGGGAGGTTGGCTCGGGAAATGGCAGCCCTCCTCTCCTGTGCACAAGGAATGGATTGTTTCAGCCTGTTGTGTCACTGCTGCCGGAGAGGGAGGGTTTTTCTCCGTCTCTGTAATGTTTGATACTTGAGGGAAAACAGCTGGAACTGAGCACGCTGGATCCGATGCAAAATGAAACGGGATGCTGGGGAATATGGACTGCGCTGTATATCTGCAAAGGTCAGAGTTTTCCCTTGGTCGGAGTTGGAGGAATGCTGTGTCCGTCTCGCGGCCAGCCTCAAGCGCCTGCAGCATAGGGAGTGGGGAGGAGGAGAGGAGATTTTGGAGCTGTGGCAGTTTTTCAGCGAGGCAAATGAGGTCTCCTCCTTCCATTTCCTTCCCGTCCCTTTTCGTGTGCTGCTGTTTTTGATTTTCTGGGAAGACTAGGGGGGAAAAAAAAGAGAATCATCGTCAATGACAGAGTTTCAGTTTGGAGAAGCTGTTTATAACCAGGTTGAAGCAGTGAGTTCTGAGATGGCAGACAGAGCAGTGAATGACCCAAACCGCAGGAGCAAAACTGGTACTGCAGGAAGAGCCCTGGGGAAGAGCCCTGCCTGAAATGCACGGACAGAGGACGTGGAAGTAGTTATTACACAATGCCTGGGAAGAAAGACAAGGGCAGGAAAGAATTTCAATGCCTAGGATCTTACGTTGCACAGATTTAGAACTCAAAATGGTATGTCCGGCTTTCAGAAAAAGAGGAAAAAAAATGAAAGAAAGAAAACTCTCAGTAGTTTAAATGTTTTTTTCTGAATTGGGCTGAAAATGTAACACCAGTTGCAGAGCTGCATTGACACAGAGCAGCAGATGAGCTGGGCTACCTTGCGTGAAGGAGCAAGCCATGGAGCAACTGCTTTATTAATATTCCCTTTGTTTCTTTGCCAGTCAAGAGAACAATCCGATGATGAAACAGAGGAGTCCGTGAAGTTCAAGAGACTGCACAAGCTGGTAAATTCTACTCGCAGAGTCCGGAAGAAACTCATAAGAGTGGAAGAAATGAAAAAACCCAGCCCAGAAGGTAAAGAGCAAAGTTTCTGTGATTAAAACTGAACGTGGGAGCGTATTTCTCTGTTGAGAGGGGGCAGAATGTGGATGAGAGAGGAGGGGCGGACTGTGCCTGCAGAGCAGGGAAAAATATTGCCTTTTTTATGATGCCTGCGTTACCCGARTAATTACCATTTGAGACTGTAGAAGGAGGCAAGTGACAGCTTGGGATGTGGCTGCTGCTGCTCTCCTGGGATTCCCACAGCCCTTCATTAAGAGCTTAGGAGCTGGTTTATGTTTTGTGCCCTGCATTGCCTGCTGCCCTAGAGGGAACGCGTTGGAGCRATTCCCGCCAGGGAGGTGGGCGCAGCAGCCCCGGCCCCCTTCCCACCTCCGAGTCCCGGCGTGCTGCCCTAGGAGCGTTGCACAGGTGAAGCTCTTAACAGTTTGGGAGGGGAGCGTCTGACGAGTAGCGCAGCTGCGCTCCATGGCATCATCCATGGCAAAACCCTGCTAGACATTCCTGTGGGATGGTTGCTGCTTGGTGCAGTACTGGCTCCTGGTTCCTGGGGCAGAGAGAGTACAGGAGTACTGGCTCCTGGGGCAGAGAGAGAAGGGARAAGGGGGAGTGGGGAGAGAGGGGCAGAGTTCATCTCCTGGAGATGCCACCCTGCAGAAGTAGCTCTTTAGGATCACAGGATCACAGGACGGTTGAGGTTGGAAGGAACACCTAGAGATCATCTAGTCCAACCCCCTGCACACACAGGGACACCCAGAGCAGGGGCACAGGGCGGCATCCAGGTGGGTTTGGAAGATCTCCAGAGAAGGAGGCTCCACAGCCTCCCCGGGCAGCCTGTGCCAGGGCTCTGGCACCCTTGATGACCTGTGTCCATAGGTGGGCACTGAGGGTAGCGAAGCCTGAGCCTCAGTCCTCTCTCTGCATGTCCTGCCCAAGTGCTCCCTGCAGAGCTGTGGATGCCCCCATACGTTTGCAGCCTTCCCAGGACCACGTCCTTCCCAGGATCATTCCTTTCAGCTTTGTAGTGAACTGGGCCGCCCTGTGTTCCAGGCTGGTGTGCTGAAGGAGAGCTTGTGCATCTTCTTTGGCATGTGGCAGGATGCTGTCAGTAAAAACAGGATTTAGCCTGCCTCTTCCTCACATGATGGTCGTGTTACGGGCCAGAGCGAAAGGCTCAGGCACCCTAGAGCTCTGGTCAGGGCRGGTAGCTTGGTCTTGACTAAGATTTGGTTGCCACCTCTAAGAGGGTTTTAAAAACAGAGCTGAGTGTAAAGCTGAGTTACCTCAGCAGCAAAAATGTAGCTTATGAGAAGGGGCAAAACAGACCCAGATTTTCCTGCTGCGGGGAAAGAGGAACCCAAGAGCTGCCTTGACTCCCCGACCCCGTGGGCCTGGGTGTGGAGAGCAGCAGGGAGCCGTCAGCCAAAGTGGTGGGAGCAGCTGCAGGAGCGGCCGGCACGGGGCCTCTGCCTGTGGGACAGCTTCCTGCATCCAGCTTTCGTGTTAACTGGCTGCTCTGCTCCAGCTCTCTCCCTCACAGCTTTCCACCTCTGCTTCAAATTCTGCTTCATCTCCTTATTCCCTTTTCTTCCTCACTCTTTCCCTTAAGCATCCCAGTTCCTTCCATTTTTTTTTTCCAGTATGCTGAGCCACCCGTGCCCCCTGTTTGGAGAAAAATTACCAGATTCACTGTTGTCACCAAGAAAAATGGTTAAAAATATCTGTAACTTTGTGTCGGTGTGTACTAGCATGCTGGTGTTCCTGTGTGGATTGACTCTCAGGAAATAGGATAACAAAAAGAATTACTGCTAATAACAACATGAATTGTTTGTACATAACACCTACATAAGCAGAAGACCTCTTAAGCAGGCAAAACCCTGACTAGATACATACAGCTTTTTTTTCTCAGCACAATTTTCCTCGATCCCCTTTTTTTACGTGACAAATAAAAAGTYAAAATGTTGTGCATCCCCATGTCTCATAGGGTAGCTCTGAAATCCCATTTTCATACATCAGAGGACTCTGCAAGCTCACAAAAGATACTCCAGTGAGATTTGGAGATTGTCATCTGGCTTTCCAGGTTGCCTGCATTTTCCTGGATAGGTTATTGGGATMTTTCCTGCTGTTACTTACATCAGTATAGAGGTGTGAAGCCATGTGAAATTCTAGATCATTGTCAAATTTGATCAATAAATCTGGATGATCTGGTGGGCACTAGTATGTGCTAGAATCTGAATACATGAGTATTTTATGTTAATCTTCTCTTAATTGAATTCCTGGATCTTCCTAATGCTGGGACACTTTTTATGTAGCATTTAAAAACAACTCACATCTACATCTGTGTCATGATGGGTTTGTATGATGGATTGATTCCAAATAACATCTGTTGCAATGTTGACACACAACGCATATTTTACAAGCTGTTTGAAAACATATTTCCTCAGGGGACTAAAATAGATTATCAATATGTTATTCAGCTGATTATTCAGCTCCAGAAGAAAGTCTCTTTTCTTTCAAGTCAAAACTTAGCAGAGAAAAAATCAAGTTGTACACTTCAGTGAATGGGGARTTAAAATCAGCCTCCAGTAGACTCTCGAGAGTGATGTGTCAGATGTGATCCCCTCTCCCATCACTGTCACAGCTAGTTCTGTCATGGTAAAACAGTGTCTCAGGTTGGAGCAAATATGACAAGTATATTTTGCCAACACAGTGAAGATGAGACTGGAAGCCTGTAGAAGGCAACTGATCTTTCATCCTGAAATGAGTGTCCTGTTACTGGATGAACTAGTTTAGGAAATCAGAAATACTTTCATAGTTAGGTCAAGTTTAGCTCTTCCACAACATTGTTGAATATTCAGTACCATCAAAGATGAAGGCAAAATCTACGCTTACTCAATGGAAGTTTGTTTTTAAAAGGAAGTTTCCATGACCTGCGTTGASTTCTCTGCAAGGAACACAATTCAGTTGCATTTCTGTCTGTGTTTCTGATATATATGTCTATGAATACCATGAAGGATGTCAGGTAGGACTGAGACGGATGTGCATTGTTTGACTCTTTCCGTACTGCTGCATCCAAAACTGGAGCCTAAATGTTATTCAGGAGGAAACACTGCAGGAAAGAGTTTTCAAATGATAAATGTGAAAAAATGAATTACTATTTTTCTTTCATACCGTGCCCAAAAAACACTCCTAGTCTTTTGCCCATATTCAGTAGTTCTGTTTCAGAAAGTCTTCTTTCCTTCTGTAATATGTAGTTGGTGAAAACTATGTGTTTCTGTCATTAGCAGGACTTSTTGAAATTGGTACACCCACAATTTGACCAACCTTTTTTTCTTTGCATGTGTTTATGTAAATTCTGTGTAGATAAATTTGGTACCTCTTTTTCCATTGAAAGCCCAGCTCTTTTCATTTCATCCTTGAGCTCAGCTCTRTTCTTTTCTGGGACAAATACTGCTTTCTGCAGCAATGCTGGATGCTACAGTCTATGATTAACTCATCCCAGAACTCTCACTTTGCAGATGGAAGGAACTGGTTCAAATTTACCCACCCATAAATACCTTCTGGGCTTCTCATGTCAAGAGGAGGTTGCTTTGACTCTAAATACACGTTGTGTGCTGTTTTTGTCCRCTGTAGGTGTGGAAGAGCACTCGCTTGATAGCCCTGCCATACTGGAAGACAGGTCGGCACTTTACTCTGGAGTTCACAAGAAGCAGTTGTACTTGGATGGCTCCTGTGAGAAGCAGCCTGAGGATGACTTGGACTTGCTCACCACTTCTCCCTCCTCCAGCAGCCTTGATACTTGGGGAGCTAACCGGAAGCTGGTGAAGACCTTCAGCAAAACTGATAGCCGTGGCCTTATCAAGCCTCCCAAGAAACTCGGGACTTTTTTCTCTTACCCAGAAGAGGAGAAGACCCAGAAAGTTTGCCGCTCCTTGACAGATGGGGAGATGAAGAAGAGCCTCGGCTCCCTGAGCCATGGGGTAAGTACAGAAAGCATTTGCTTTTATGACAGCAACAGGCACAAGCACCATCTTCTGGTGTCCCTGGAGGAGATTCAGAGTGTAAGGAAGCAGATCCGATTGAAGAAAATGGATACTAACTATTCCTGTTCCAGAGCTTTTCTTTGCCAGCGCCCTGCTAGGAAAGGAGCATCCCCCACAACCTGCGACCTGCAATTGCTGCGGCACAAAGCGAAAGGGGGTGGAGGTTGTGGCTTCCCAAACAGAAGGCTACGAGGGCGCACTTCTGTCAGCGAGTTCAATATCACCTATGTGGTGGAGAGAAGCCTGTACAGTCACCTCAACCTCTCACAGTTGGTGCGTCCCGTTACTGACAGGACCCTGAGCAAGGCCGACAAGCAGGACCTGAGGAGATGCCTGCTGGAGGAGGATGAGGAGGCCAAGAGGAAGTGGGCTGCCACAGTGGATCGCTGTACTAAAAGGGTTCTCTTGAGAATCCACCAAAAGTCTGTGAGTCAAAGAGTTGCCATGGAGGTGGCCTTCCAGTTTCTGTGAGGTTGCAGTTGACATTTACTACTCTGTACTTCTAACTGAAATTCTGCACTTTCCCTCTTTTCCTTRCCTTTAGGGGCTCCTTAGCACTGTAACTCTTCTGTAACAGAGAAGTGTACCGGTATCCCATGAAGAGCTTGATATGATCCTGTCAGGAGAGAGTTTTGTTGAGTGTACAGTCTCCATGTACATAGAATAACTCCATGATAGAAATAAAATATGACAAAATGCAGCTTTTTAACTTCAGCCAGAGCACAAATTGAGATTATTGATGAAAAGAAGCTTTAAGAATCCATGAAAGTGTTTTCCTGCTGCTTTGAAATCAGCACTCTTTTAAAGAGATACAGTGAGATATGTAAAATTTTTAAAGRATTAGGGCATGCTTAGTCAACTGGGCTCTGTTTCCCTCCTGCTGTCTGTCATTGCCTCATATTGGCCTTCCCCCTCACAGTTTCCAGCCCATCTGCTGAAGTAGCCCACCCAGCTCTGTAATTTCCGTCACACTCGCAGCTGCAGAAGGTCAGGGAGGTTTACATTATGTAGACACTGACCTCCTGCCTGCTGCTCAGCACACCAGAAGTGTCCCTGGCTATGCACCCACTTTCTGGCATGAGCTGAAGGTGGGACCTTCCCTCATGGCATTGTGGAAAAGGGAGCAAGGGGTGGGTGGCCAAGAACGGAAATGTTCCTGTACATCAGGAAACTGAGTGATTTAAATGATCTGGGATTCCAAAGAAACCCAGTCTTTGCCATGACTCTTCCTGCCTATTTGACCCAGTTTTGGTGGTTCACCATGATGTTGAGTTTCCTGGGAATTTGCCCTTGCAGCCAGCCAGATCTACAGAGCAGAGCCAAATAGTCTGTTGTCTTGACAATTTTGATGAGTTCCCTACTTCAGCGGATGGAAACTGTGGTAGACCCATAATATTAAGCAAAATGTTCAGGTGAACAATATAGTAGAAAGAGATTTTTTTTTTCCTCTTAAATTACAGCTTTACTTTGAGAGGCCTCTGCTTCATTTCTTTGAGTTGCTCAGGATGTCAGAGATGGAGAGCGCYGGGAGCTCTCTGAGTAAGGATCAGTCACCGGTGGGAGCTGACAAGGCTTCCTGGCCCCCTTTTATCTTTAACTTTTGGCCACAGTAGTAGTAGCCTGTTTCTACCCAATACCATGAACATTCCCTCTTTGCTATTTCACTATTTCTCCAGCATTTACTGCTTGCCTTGTCATTGGCTTGATACTGTTCCTTTTCATTGAGATTGTACTCATCCTTTCTCCATGGGGACCTCACAGTGATAAGACATCTGACTCACCCATATRTGAGTTGGATAGTAGGGGGATATCAGCAGGCAAAAGGCATATTTATATGTGCCAGGGATGCCCCATAATTAAAAACCCTGTCCAAAGCTGTCTTTGTAAATGCGGATGCTGACGACAGGCTTTTGAGTTCTCCTRGTAAGCAGTGTCACTGTGGTAACTTCTGCACTGATTTGTGCTTGTTCCCAGAGACACAGTCAGAAAAGAAATGGGTGACACAATGACTTTGTGGGTGTTCTTGTTGAGGAACCCCTCTGTTAACAACCTTTGGTGAAGGGGATAAGTGGTGGGGACCGCCGGCCTTTGCTGGCTTTTGCAGCGCGCTTCCTCTGAAACTGCCAGAAGCCGGTTAACTTCTCTTGACCTTGCAAGTAAGGTTGTCCCTGCTTCCTAGAAACATGTAGTGTGTGTTTGCTGCAACCTCAGGGAAATTGCAACGCCTTTGTATTCAGTGGAACTGGTCACTCTGTCTTGCCTTGCCATTCGTTTTTGTCGTTTATATTTGTTTCAGTGACCTGGACATGCATGAATTTTTCAATTTGCATCAGTTTTTCTTTTCTCCCAAAATGATAATATTTTTGATTGCATGGCCATTCCATTGAATATCCCTTTCCTCATCCACAGACCTTTTGTTTGGTGCAGAATTACTAAGGTCTTTCCTGGAATCGGAAAGTGAAATGTTGAATGTAATGTATGGGGAGGTCCATCACGGAGCAAGAAGAATCCTTAACATGGGGCATTTTAATCAAGAATCAATTTGCTCTCAAAAGTGCCTGCTATAAGAAGAGCCTCGGATGGTTGGGGAGACCAACGCAGAGCAGCCTCAGATGTCCCCAGATGTCCCCTGTCCATGGGGGGAGTTGCCGCGCGCTGCAGGGTTACTTAGGAAGGACCCTAGGCAGAAGGGCAGCATTACTCATAGTTAGCTGTGCTGTGCTTTACAAGCTGCTCTCCTCATAGTTAGGTGTGCTGGGCTTTACAAGCCGCTCTCATTACTTGTGGCTAGTCTCCAGTGCTTTCCCAAATCAGTTTTGAAAGCCATGCCATAGTCCTGTGCCTTCTGGAGAGCAAACGTTGTAAAGGATCCTCCAGGGCAGCCAGTCTGTGCACGTGTGGGGAGCCTGAACAAAGCTGGCAGCCAGATCCAAGGCAGTCGTGGTTGGTACAAACATCCGCACCGTAGGTGTGCGGTACGCAGCATACAGCAAGAAAAAAAGCTTAAACAATCAGATGTATGGTGATTAGCAGTGAACAAGGCGGGAATGAGCCAATTATGAGGGTGGTTTATTAAGTGACCCAGTTTATAGAGGACTTGTGTCTTTGGGATGAAGTGTCCAAGCAAACTGGTAGTTCTCAGGTAGTGGATCTTCACAGTTACTGTAGTAACTGGGCATATCTTTTGTAGGTTTGATCTGATGCCTAGTTAGGTCTTAAGGTATCTTTCAGGTTACTCYGTTGTTCAGGCCCTAAAAATGCACAGTTTGCAAATTCCTAATAATCTTTTGCATCCTGTTTGTCTCATGTCTGACTATAAAGAGAATTTTTATAGTGGAGGTCTACCTGTCATTAAGCACAGACTTCAGAGTCAAAGCCATACGAGCAGAGGGCAGTTGCCATGTCCACATCTTCCTGCACTGCCTCCGGAGACTCCTCACAGAGCCACGTAACAGGCGCCTGGTTGCAGAGTTTGGTGTTCAAAGGCAAAACAAACTATTGGGCCTGTTGGATTGCGAGGCAAAAACTCAGTTCTCTCTGTGTTGCCCTAAGGGACTGGTTTCTTTTCAAGGGATACCAAAACTTTAGCAGAGACTCATCTGCCAAATTTAAATGCTCTGGTGAGGGCTGTGGAAGCACAACTGCGCTGAGTTTAGCTGCTCTTTGCTTTGGGGAGGAAGCAGCATCATAATGCTGATGGTTTTTTAATGCAAGCAAGGTTTTTTAATGATCATGGCAAACTACAGCTGAACTGGAGCGTAGCGTCTGAGTTGCTCCATAGGTGATAGAGCCACTGAAGCCACAACCTGCTCCCTCCCTACAACCAGCACAACTGCCCTGTACTGCCAGGGAGGCGGTGAGAGATACTTCATCATCTCAGGGCTTGGGGCCTTTCTGGTGGGTTGTTTGCTTTGTGCCTTTTTTTTATTTTATTTTTGTGCGTATAGGAGGTGACTTTAAAGCTTCCGGGGACACGATGCCCTCAGAACATCTGGAGGGGCTTGTTTTCCCTTGCCCTTACCAAGGGCTGCCCTCCGGGGCTGCCGTGTTTCAGTGTTAGGTTAAGCAGATGCAGCTGTYCAGCGAGCAGGTTGTGCAGGGTTTCAAGGCTCAGCTCCCCTCTGCTGCAGCACTAGTGTGGCCTAACTGAGGGAGACTCCAGGGCTGAGGCGAGCTGCCAGGGACCTGGAAAACTTTATGCAGAAGATGAATGAACAGTTTCCTCTCACTAAAACTGTTTTTTTTCTCTTTCTTTTTAAATGAGAGTGGGCAATAGATGACTCAATAGCAGCAGACCTTAGCCTGAGGAGTTCTCTCTGAAGGAGAGGAATGACTCAAGTAGCTTTACAGCTGCCTTCTCCCTTCGTGAAGCTTGAATCGTTGGTCTCCCATCCTTTTGTTTGTTTGTTTATTTTCATTTTTGCCCATGTTACGGTTTTCAGTGACATTCTCCAAATCACACATGTTTGGACTGAGCTAATCGTTGTGATACAGCTGTTTCTATGGTGTTTTTTATTTTTTTTATTTTTTTTTTTTGCAGAGAACCTGTAGCTTTGGAGGATTTGACTTGACAAATCGTTCCCTTCATATTGGAAACAGCTCTGACCAAATGGTGAGTGAAGGAATGCGCAGGCTTGAAATAGCATGCAGTGAAACACACAATAGAGTTATAACAGGCTAAGTGTCATTTAGGCCCATAATAGCAGTTTGGGGATCCAAGAAGGCAGGGTGCCTTTTTTTAACCACAGGCTTCCTGAGCKTTGAGAACAACATATCCGCCCCTGTCCATGTGTGTGTGTGGATTTATAAACCGTGTGGCTGAAGGTGCAGGAACAAGTGATCAAAGCGCAGATCTGGGGGCACATCTGTGCCTGTTCCTGTGTCTGCCTTCCTCAGGGCATCCCTCCAGGCACAGCACACGATTGCTTTACTTTCCTGGGAAAACACTTACCTTATTCCGAGGCAGCCTTTCACTCAGTGAAGATCTKCAGGTTATTTGGGTGGAAGTCCTTACAGAAGTGATTTAGGATTTGTTTTCTCCTCGTATTGAAGAGCTGTGGAGTAGRGCAGCATCCCCTTGTGCTGGGTGCTCTTCGATTGATCACAGTGCAGTATTTTGTTATATTTTAATAAAAATATAAATATAAAATAACTGCCATGAGAATTACTCCTTTTATGTTACTCATGTTGATCCTAGTGTTAATGCTGGTCAGACTGCCACCAAAACTGCCTGTGGGCTGGAACATTATATCAAATTAAATTGCCCATAAATTTTAAATATAAGGAAGAACCTTTACTATCTCCAGTTTAGCTCTGATGATRTCTCCTCTTTGCTTTCAATTAAGTTTAAATTGTAAAAAAATGTATATATGCCATCATTTTAGTAGCCTCTTTTTTTTTTTTTGCATCCAAAATTTTCCCTAAATTGGAGCAAAATTGAGGGTTTTTTTTCCCGTCAATCTTCTACTGAAGATAAAACTTAACCTGCAAAAATCACAATGTTTATCTTTCTACATAGCTAGCTTGGCATATTTTGTTCAGTGTATGTTTTTGACATAGGAAAGTATGAAGTTTAGACGTTAGATTTTTACTGCTAGCGTCAGCAGTGGAACAAATACAGGACACTAGAATAATCTGTGCAGATCAAGAGCTTTTGTCAAAAACACGCAAGTCTGTTGGTCAAAGAGGGGWTTTTTTGTTTGTCTGTTTTTTTCAGACTAGATCATCCAAATAGCTGTTCTCAATTTCTGCTAAAAGATTCACACAGAGTCACAGGATGGTTGAGGTTGGAAGGGATCTCTGGAGATGATGTAGTCCAACCTCCCTGCTCCAGCAGGGACACCCAGAGCAAATGTAATCACAAAAAAACTTCTAAGAGAAGTAAAAAGTATCCAAAGTGTCAGTTAACCTTGGCAAAGACTTGTTAGTGGAACATGATAAAGTAACAAACATGGGTAAATTTGGGAAAAAAGAAAGAGAGGAACTCTGTGTGTGGAATACAGTGTACTTGTACTCCAGGGCTTGTCATTTTAGTTAGCTGAACTGCCCTCTGAAGCCCGTTTTGCACCAGGTCAGAGACGGGATTCAGCGGTGCGATTGCTGGGTGGGTTTTGGTGCTGTGTGCAGTGCAGTTTTGGGGCACCCTTAGCCTTAGCAGGGGTGGGGAGTCCTTGTGCCTGGGGCACGGGCAACTGCTGGGCAACTCAGGCTGTCSTTCAGAGACCATTAAAGGAGCTTGAAGCAGCTGCCCTTTGTCGTCTGCTGCACGTGGAGCTGCTGATTTAGTCCTCGCTTCCCTGCTCCCGTGTCCGGGTGCTAGGAACTGCCTCCTGTGCCCGGACAGCCTTGCCCAGGGGCTGGGGTGCAGGGGCTTCCTTTTTTTTTTCCCTCCCCACAATTCCCAGTAAAACCACAGAGCAGGTCATGAAGAGAGGTGAGTTGAATGCCTGTCTGAAAATAAAATGTACATGKAGGCAGTCAAATGCAGGTGTGCAGATAGGTATTTTGCCAGGAGCTCGGAGGTGACTCGCGTGCTGTTCAGCTGTGGWATCGCCCAGCGTGAGGCACAAGGTGCTGTTGTGCATTCCCTGGGGAGAAGGGCCAGTCTCAGTCCATGGAGTTGACTGTTGGCAAAGTAAAGTATTTAGCTGAGCTGGAACCCGAAAGGATGCAGGCAGCCTTGCAGAGGCTGGCACCTCCACACGCAGTGTCAACAGAAAAGCTGGCAAAGCAGGAGCGRGAGGCCTGGAGAGCACCGCGGTGATGCCTTGCACAAGGTTCCTGACAGTGAATTCCAAGCAGTGGAAAGGGCACCTTGGCTCCCATCCCCTGTCTGCCTCTGCACTAAGAGGAGAGAATGGCTCTCACATTTTACAGGTGTAAACCTTGCTTCATTTTGCAGGGCAAAGAAGGAGACTTTGTTTATAAAGAAGTGATCAAATCACCCTCTGCGTCTCGTATATCTCTGGGCAAAAAGGTGAAGTCTGTCAAGGAAACCATGAAGAAAAGGATGTCTAAAAAATACAGCAGCTCTGTGTCTGAACAGGTATGTAGGACTTGCAGTAGACTGCTTAATGTTGTAGACATGATAATTGATGTTGATTCCCATTCTTCAAGGAGTTCTTTAAGGAGCCTGTTAGTTCAGGAAGAAATTTCTTCCAAGAGTGTGTGGTTATTCCTCTAGTCTTCTAAAATCCCTCCCTGGGAAATGGCTCCTCACAGAAGCCCAGCTGTGAAAATGCATTTCCAGATTTTTCATTCAAGTGCCTCATCATCCGAAGCCTGTGGTTGATGGCACTACATATCCTGCTCTGTATTGCCATCCTTTTATTTATCATCATTGTTTATTAAGGGAACTGCTCTGTGCCTGAGGGTCACAGTAATATGTTTAATCTGCAATTTGTACCTTAGTTTAAATTCCCTGCATAGCTCTGTGCACACTTGTTCTCCTCTATTACAGATCTGCTTTCCATCGCAGCTGGCCCTCTGCAACAGCCCATCAAAATAGATACACAGTGAAGTCAGGGAGGGGCATCCCATGAGAGATCTTCCTATTCTTTTTTCATTACAGCTTTTTATAGCTCATTCTTAAAGGCAAGCCTGAAGTACATTAGTTGTAAAACTAAACTTTGAATTTAAGTGGACTAATAACAATTGCTGCATTTTTCTGAAAGAATCCCTTCAGAATTCTTTTGGAGTCCTTGCTTTGCACTGTGAGAAATTCTTCAGCATTTCTTAAAACCAATCTTTCCACTTGAAATGTGTCAGTAATAGCTTACAAAACCACTGGCAAAGCAGGGCTTTTCTTCGGGCAAACATCGCCCTCAAGTGGTCGCACCACGCACTGGATCACCAGGGTACTGGAAGTGACGGTGGAAATACAGCCACGTCCCCCTGGTTGATGCAAAGTTGTTCTTAAAGGATTTCTAGTTARTCAGATCGAGATATTAACCTCCAGATTGTTAACCTGGATGGTTTTGTGGGCAGCTTTGGGTAATGCAGTGGAACATTTGRATTTCTTTCTTGTAGGAATATTAGGCCATGTTCACAACCTGGAGCAAAGGTACAGTTATGCTTGCACTTATCAATAAAAAAAAAAAAAAAGGTCTGACAGGATGAGCCGGCATCCACCCGAAGGTGCTTTGCTGCCTGCCTGGCTTCACAGGGCCCCTTTGGAAGGCCTGCCTAAGGAAGAGATGCACTGGGAAGTCAGTTTGCAATTAGCAGCACTTCTGTTCTCCGGTTCTCGCCAGGATTGAGTTGACCCCGGAGTCAAATGCTGGGATGACTTTTTTTTTTTTTTTTTTTKGATGATTCTGAAGCATGAAAATAACAGGTTGCATCTACCATTTTCATGACTATATATATATATGCACAGAAATGCTTATTGTGTGCAAGCTAGAGTTCTTTTGGTTTCCATATTTTAGGCACAGTCTATTTACAGTATGTATACTTCTGTCTTTGTGGCATTGTCACTCAAACTTGCRTGCTAGGGTATCAGTCTGCCTTCATACAAGAACAGCAAAAGCTGTTCTGACCACAGGTAATCACAGCTTCAATTTAGCTGTGCTTCACCTGAGCTGACAGCATTTCAATTTCAGAAAGACCCTTTTGGATTCACTGTAAGGCTTGACTGGATTAAAAGAGAAATTGCCTCACCTATTGCATATGCAGCATTTTTGGGGGGTATTTATTATATTTATTTGTATTTGTATTATGCCCAGGCTGCCTTTTCAGGTAATTCTTTTTTTTTTTTTTCCTTTCTTGAAAGTCAATGAGCAAAAGTATCAGTGATTCACTTGCAAAAAATAATACCTCGCTGTGTGCCTGAGCCTAATTTCATGTTTCTGCTGCTGTTGGTGCTGCTGTGCCCAGCGAGATGGGGTTCCTGCCCCACATGGGTACCGCTGATCAGGTTGATCCCCTTTTTAGCTTTCACCCTGCTAACCAGCAGGAGAATAGCAGCTGTTGTTAGCTTGGCGGCGGAGGGGCAGCTGGTGTCGCTGCCTGTGTTAGTTCACGCGGTCTCTCCCGCAGGAGCACGGCCCCGACGTCGTGCCRGCCTCGCCGCAGTCCCCGCAGCCGGACGCTGACTCCCTGGACAAGCCCAAGCTGAAAGCGGGGGGCTCCGTGGAGAGCCTCAGGAGCTCCTTGAGCGGCCAGAGCTCGATGAGTAAGTGCAGCCCTAACTGGGTGCMTCCGTCTCGGTGGCTCTCTGATGWCTTTGGGAGCCAAGTTATTTCCACRGGAAGCAGAACAGGAGGAAGTCAAAGCAGATGCCGCGGTTGGAAGCAGAAAGGTTGGGTTGGTGGGTTGGTCATCATGCCTAGCAATAGAGAATATCTTCAGTTTTTAGCTCAAAAGTGCTGTAAACTTTCTGGTGCAGAGATGGTCTCTTGTGGTTTGTATTTATACAGAGCCCTGACAAAATGTAATCCTGCTCTCTGGCTGGGGCTGCTGGACCCTGCTATTTTAATACAAATGATCTGAGTGGTAATGAAAGATCCAGATCAAAGATCCTATGAATGAGCTCATCTTTACACAAGATTTCTCGTGGGGAATCCTGCTATTTTGTTTTGGTTTAACTTGGTGCAGAGAGACCTTGAAATTTTCTCATTGTCTGTCAGAGGAGTATTATTTAAAACTGCTGTAGTTCAGAAYGTCTCTAACAAAATCAGAGCTCAARCAGGTTCCTGACAGGGACTTTGCTATAAATTACTGATCAATAGAAGCCAAGAACTTATTGGAAAGAAAGCCTGAATGAAAGATTCATTTCTGAATCCGGGGAAGTATGTCCTGAAGGTCATCTGCCTCCTTTTTTAATATCAATGCAAAGTGTTGCCGTAAAACCAAGTTTTTGAATATAATCAGGACGCCGGGGCTCTCACACAAGGGGCTCATTTTCTCACAAGCTTTTTGTGGGTAAAACTTTCCAGACAGAYCAAATCTGTGTAGTACCATAGACAAGGCAGAAATTAAATAATCTCTCAATTATACTTTGAGGAGATTAATTTGGGAAAGAGTGTAAAATAGTTTAACATCCTCCCATTATGTGTACATAAACGTAAGAAATCACAGCATTAAAGACTTCTAAGTATAATGTCTTGTAGAAATMAGTTCCACTTTGGAGGAAGCTCTGGTTGGGAAGCTCTGATTGGGATTTCTGGCGTGTCTTTGCTTGCAAAGAGGGTTTAGAAGCAGATTTTTTTTCCCTGTAAGCTGATATTTTGTCTCTCACACTTGTGTACTTAGGTGGTCAGACAGTGAGCACGACAGATTCCTCAACCAGCAACAGAGAGAGCGTGAAATCTGAAGATGGAGACGATGAAGAGCCTCCTTACAGGGGACCGTTCTGCGGGAGAGCCAGGGTTCACACGGATTTTACACCCAGCCCTTACGACACTGACTCTCTGAAGCTCAAGGTACCAGGGGTTTTTGTTTTCAGTGGGATTCGAACCTTTAATGTGGCAAAACCCCTACTGAAAAGCTGCTCTTAAGAACTTTGAAAATCTTAGTCTTTTAATGCGCTTACATCTGCTTTTTGCAGGTTTTTTTATCTGTATTATTCTGGTGYTAGCAAAATATTACAGAATATAGTTTTAAGTGATTCTTAGTATTTCCCTACGTCGCAGGAAATGTACTTGAAGCAATTTTGCAAGAATATTTTTAAAGTGAGAAAAAAAATAYCAACCTGTCACTGTGAATTCATCCACTAGTTAATAATTTTCAAAAGCCTTGTGAGGAGTGTGGAGGAGCCAGCATGCAGTGTCCCTTTGAGGCATTGCAGTTACTATGGCTTGGCTTTGAGCTAATGCTGCATTACTTGGCTGGCCATGTGTTGTTATTGCCCTTTAATTTTTCTCAGTATCAGCTTTGATTATTTTTTATTGTTATTATTATTTGTGCAGTATTCTGTCTGGCATATCTGGCTCCTTACAGGTCATTGATTACGTAAAATTCTAAGGATAGCTAATTCTTACTAAAGCAGATATAAGCAGGGCAACCCCTTGAGTGATGCAGAGACTATTGTGTGTCCACACTGCCAATTCAATCAGGAATGCAGTGGGAAAAGCTGCATTGTGCAGTGGCATTCCTCCTTCATGTGCGTGCCACTTTTCCTCAGGAAATCTGATGTCRGATTGTGCCCATCTGTACTGAGAAGCTTCAGACTCTTCAGACTGTTCTCATTTCCCCCAGTTGCAGACAGTTACACACTGTTGAACCACCTCTGCAAGGAGCAGTGGGGCAGTACAGGGCCTAAGTGGCTTTGCAGATCTGGACAGTTAGGGTCTGGTCCAGGTTCTGCTGCTGACCTCCTCTGGTCTTAGGCAGATTGCTCAGATTCCCTTTTCTCCCTTTCCCATTTGTAAACGAAATCTGTAATGAGACATCCTTGCCAGAAGTCGGGTTAAACTCCTTGAAGCTCAAGGGTGTTTCCTGTAGACCAAGTCTGTGCAGAGCCCAAGAGCTGTGTGGCAAGTGCTGGGTGGCTTTGAGCAGCCCTCGGTAAGCGAGCCCACGTGTCTGCCCTGCTCCCCTGCTCTGCAGAAAGGCGACGTCATTGACATCATCAGCAAGCCCCCCATGGGCACCTGGATGGGCCTCCTGAACAACAAAGTTGGCACTTTCAAGTTCATCTACGTGGACGTGTTAAATGAAGAGGAGGAGAAGCCCAAGCGGCCCACGCGGAGACGCCGGAAAAGCCGACCGCCCCAGCCCAAGTCTGTGGAGGATCTCCTGGATCGCATCAACTTAAAGGTCCGTGCTCTCACTCTCTCTCTTTTCCCTTCAATTTTGTTTGTAGGAAGGAGGGCACATCTCTGAAGTTACTCAGTTTTAAATTAGTTCTTAAATCCCTCGTCCTAGTGAAGATGACCCCGTTTAGTGGAATGAGGGTGCAGAGTCAAAGTAGCTGAGACGTGGCAGAACTGCCTGTCTCACGTGGKGAGGTGCTGCAAGCTGTACCCACTCCGAGAGTGTGAAGCCCTGAACAGTGTGGCTGCCAGCTAACACATTGCAAAGGCAAGCAGAATGTGTAAAATAACTATGCATATGCCCTTTTTAAGAAGGAAGTTATTTCCCACGTTCCTGTTTGGAAGGGCTGGAGATAACCTGCTGTGGCTGTAGTTCATCCTTTGCACTACCCATTAGTAAAGAGCTCTGCTACACTGTGTGTCAGACTAGAGTGCTACCCAGTGCCTATAATACAGTTTATTSTAAATATAAAAATATGCACAGCATTCTAATTCTGGCACAGCTACTTCGCTTATCTCTGATTGATGCTTATATGATATATAATCCTATAATTCTGCTGTTGTGCAGTGGTTTGCACATGCTGCACTACTGCTTTTTTCCTGCTAATGAAAATCTCATGTAGGGATTTTATTGCCAAAAGAAGTTGAATAAAAATGTTATTGACTTACAGTTGGCTTTTTTTCCCTGTTTCCTCCTATGCAGGAGCACATGCCCACTTTCCTCTTCAATGGTTATGAAGATCTGGACACCTTTAAACTTTTAGAAGAAGAAGATCTGGATGAACTGAACATCCGAGATCCTGAGCACAGAGCTGTTCTCCTCACAGCAGTGGAACTTCTGCAGGAATATGATAGTACGTGGGTTGCTTAGGGGTTTCGAGTTTGCTAGAGCTTGGCCAAGGGCCTAAAACACAAAAACAGTTCAGGGATTTTGGAGATTTTTTTATAATCTAGTTATGTCCGTGGTCTTCCAGCAGACAGATTTTCAAGGAGTGCTTTAAAGGCTTGCTTTTCATGTAACTGCTTCCCAAATTATTCAAGCGATAGGATGTCAAAAATAGAGCAAATAACCCTTTAAAATACTGATGTTCAGGAATAAATTCTGAGATAACAAGCAAAGAAGCTGTAGTRTAGAGAATAGGAAGGAAGAGAGCTTCTAGACTGGAAGCTTGGGAAGGAAAGGGTAAGGTACCCTTTCCAAGGGTGAGGAAAAGGTCAAAGCCCAGAGAGCTGTGGGGAAAGGTGATGTGAGCTGAGCTTTATTTGGGGATTGTTTGTTACCTGCATGTGCATGTGACTTGGACTCCRACTGACAGGACTGTATAGCTGCTCTGAGGCTGCATACATGGCAATATAGCAGTTCTCAAAAGGAGGAAAATGCATCGGTCAGGTGCAAAGAGCGAAAGACAGAGGTACATCTGTCTGTCCTGCAGCAGTGCAGCTTGGCCTGTTGTCCAGAGGGCCCCAAGAAAGTAGCTACAAAAATGGAGAAAGTGGGTGGTCAGATTGGAGGGTGCCCAGGGTGAAGCAGAGCTGTCCCGGCCGTGCCACGGCAGCAAGCACTGCAGGGGCAGGGGCTGGGACCCAAGTAGCACCCAACTGCAGCAACCTAAAACACTGCCAAGTTGCTCCTTCATCCAAAAGTGCCAGCAGGAGTTTAGTGTCCCCAGGGCATAGTCAGAGTGGGGAATTTCTCAGCTGCTTCTGGACACAATCCTGCAATTTAGCTTAAACTGCCATAGCAGCTGCTTATTAAGTGAGTGAGATTTCATTCTGTTATGAAGAGATTGCTGGTCAGGCTCTGCATAGTGTTCTGTGATCTGGGCTTTCACCAACATGTACCTTCCTTGCACGTTTCCCGAGGCAGCTTTGAGGCTTTCTTCCAAAAGACAAAACACCTGCAATTGCAGAATTGCATGGATTCTCTTTGCTTCACTGAGCRGGGCTACTTGACACCTAACAGGAGCCTCTCTCGGTTATTTTGGAGACCTGCTTGGAATGTTCTCTTCTGTGAAGAAATCAGTTTTTTAGGGACCTTCAATTTTGGTTTGAGAATTTGAGGAACTATTTGATGTAGTGGTTGGAAAGTATAAATTCCAGTCCCAAATAAGGGTGATGAGCAGAAGGAAAGAGAAGAGGCAGCTGGAACCTGGGAGAGGCAGCAACATTTATTTCTGCTCCCTAATTACCTTTCAGGTTCTGAGAATATGAAGCAAAATGTCGGTTTCTGACATTTTATTGCAGAAAAAAGAAACCTCAACCCACACAACATAAACTATCTCCTTGCATCGTGGAGTTGGTTTCCTCTCACCAGCTTCAGATGACGAAAGCAAAATTTCCAACCAAACCCTATGGGCAAATTCCTGGCATGCARCTTGCGCAGCCCAATCTGTGCCGCRTTAACCTTGGCTCGAGGTGCAGAGTGAGGAAGGCAGGAGCTTTTACCACCAGTGTCTTCCTTGTCCCTTCCCCATATGTGAGGGTCAGGAGGGTCTGGCACTCCTCAGCCTTTCTCTTGGTCTTTCCTGCAGAGAGTCTTTTCTGCTCAGAGTTGGGAATTTTTTTTTTTTTTTTTCGTTTCTTACTTGAACTGGAGGTTTGGACCGTTGATGCTATTGTTTTAAATACATTTCCATGGTTTAATAGTATTTCCTGCCAGAAGCCACTTGAAAKGTTAGTTGCAGGCCGTGGCACTGAGGCTTCCAAGGACGACATGCACTCGGCTCTGCTTTCGTCGAGTGCATCACTGCTCCGTGACACTCAAGCTGAGCCTGGTATTCAGTGCTGTCCCAAGAGGATGAATAGTTTCCAGTGCTATTTATCACTTTGTGGTGTCTGTCCCTAGTGCTCACTCTTGGTTAATCTGGGGTCTGATGAGATTAATATCACAGAGAAAATAATGTAGGTATTGGAAATGTAAGGCTGGGAAGTTCAACTGGATTTTCTGTCTCTGTTTTCACTGGGCTCTCTCGTTTTCTCTAGGTAACAGTGACCAGTCAGGATCTCAGGAGAAACTCCTCATTGAAGGTCAGGGTCTGACTGGATGCTCTCCTCGGGATTCTGGCTGCTACGAGAGCAGTGAAAACCTGGAGAACGGTAAGGGCAAAAGCCTCCTAATCCTTACAGGCTGTTTTCTGTAGGAGACTTGGTCTGTTTTCTGCTTGTACTTGTAGCCAGTGAAGACAGACTTCATGCTTGACTTTCTGCCTTGCTCTGACTGCCTCTTTCCTCCTGACCTTGGGCCACTGTTTTTCATTGCTACTAATTTGCTTATGTGCACTGGTAGGAAGCAGATCACTTTTCACAGATTATCTCCTTTCTTATGGGCTCCTTAAACAACAGATATTCAGACCTCAAACTGCCTGATTTCATCCAGTATAGATAGGAAACCAAGAGCAGAATAAATAGAAGTGCTGTTTCCCTTGTGTTATCCCCTTTTCCAATTTAAAATGCAAGTTAAATTTCTGAATGTGGGCATTTACTGTCAATCTGCCATTCAGAAATACCCATTCATTGAAAATTGCAATTTGCTTTGATTCTAAATACCCTAACTCCACAATATTCAAAATTCCTGAAAGGCAAAGAAAATTTATTTCTTGAACATGGAACCCCCCATACAAGTAGGCATGCTGTAGTATAATCATAGCTATATGTATGGTATATATGACAATTTTCTTTCCTTTTTTATCTACAGCTATAATACCTGAAGTTAAATAGCAGCCTGTACATTTTCCTTATTTTAMAAATATAATAAAATATTTAGAAAGCAATTGTCATTGCCTGTCTGCATAGATACTTACATTTAAAGTAGCATTTCTCTCCGAGTTCTGCAGAATATGGGATATCACTAAGTTTTCTATTGCTTTTCAATAATGGTTTACTACATTTCTGCACCATGTTTGTACACTAAGGCATTTAGCTCTTCCTTTGAAAACTGTTATGAAAAGAACCTTGGTGTGAGATCCGTTCGGAGATTCTGGCACAGCCAGTTAATCAGAAATGCATTCATGAGCAGAAATTGATTATATACATCTCATTTCCAGAATATATTCAATTCTCATTTGTTAACATAAAGATAATTGTCTTATATAAACATCATAATGTGCACATCGGCAGTAATAATCTGCCTCTTGTAAAGGGAAATGCATTCTACAAAATTGGTCTTCCAGTTCCTGGTGATGCTCATACATAGGACATTAATGACTAGAAGAGTGCCCTGTTTTGGGCTAATACCTACACCTTTTGGCATCAGTTCAAAATTTCAGGGATCTTAGTATGGTTGGGATAGAAAAACGTTTGCTACGTATTATGTCAGCATGGATCTTTTAGGTACCCGTCTGGGTCCCATTGCAGAAATGCTGAAGTTTCTCCCCAATGTACTTACAGTACTCCCCAATGTACTTACTGAAGCTATCCCCAATGTACTTACAGACAGCATTGTACACTTGTCTCCATTTACAGAGAGCAAGGAACATAAAATATGCCAACAGTTTCTCTTTATGAACCTCCCTGGTCTCCCTTGCCCTCCATAACCACCAGTACCCGTGGCACCTTTTCAGTGCTTTGAACTTTCCTCCTAGCTTCCTCTAAACCTCTAATGCTCTTTTACTGGAAGATGCCCTGAAAATCAGTCCGTATCCCCTTCCCCCTTGCCTCTCAAGACTGTATAGACATCTGTCACCCTGCTTCCCAAGTTATGTATTCTCCAGTGATGTTCCCAGGTGTATTTAGAAACTAAAACTTGGATTTCCGCAGTGCCAAGTTGGCATCCTAACTCCTCAGACATTCACTTGCCCATCAAATAGAAGGGGAAGCAACATAAAAGGAGGCCACATTGCCTAATGCAATGTGCATTTCTAGCTCTTCTTTTTCATTAAAAAAAAATAAAGCAATGAAGCTAGGCTTGTCTGCTCTGCTGTCATCTTTGTGGTCTAAGTTCAGCTGTCTCAAATGCACAAAGAGCTGCAGAAAGCAATGCCAAAATTTAGAAATCTGTAATCAGGACAGGCTGTTTCATGTATTCTGTTGTGCCTGAGTTTKAGTATTTGGTTCTCTGAACATGATCTTCCACACAGGGAAAATAATATATATACATACCGAGAAAGAAGCACTGAAAATTGTTGCTGTGGCTCTGGTACCTCTTGGAATATTCCGCAGGACACTCACCTTCCGAGGCAGACAATGGCAGAGCATCAAAAGGGTTAYTCTTTGTATTCTCCTTGCAGGAGATCCTCACAAATTCCTGAGCTTAAAATGACAGAGTTCATGTCCATTCAGTGCTACCAGAAAGAGTAAAGCATTGTGCTTGAGCGYATTTAGTAGTAATCCACTTTTCCTGAACGGAGGAGCTTTCTAAGAACTGCTGTGTCTCTGCTTGCTTTCAGGTAAGACTCGGCGGCCGTGCCTCGTGCCCTCCAAAGCCGCCGGCGAGCGCAGCCTCAAGGACTTGAGCAGGAGCCCGCTGTGCAGCCACAGGGAGCCGCTCGCGCTGCCCAGGGAGCCGCCGGAGCGCGGCGCGGCGGGCGCCCGCGCGGGCTGCCCGCACCGAGCCGTGCCGCGCGGCGCCGAGGCGCCCGCCAGCGCCCGCCGGAACCGCCGCAGCCTGCCCGGCGCCGTGCGGCGCAGCTGCGAGACGCTGCACGGCGCCCTCGGCGCCGCAGGCTGGCCCAGATCCCACTCGCTGGACGATCTGCAGGGAGAAGCCGGCGTGAACCTGCAGGAAGCTGCCAAGGAAAGGGGCTCTTCAGCTCAGGACGCACTGGATGTAGCAAAGAAGGGTGGCGCGGGAGGTGACTTGCTGCTTAAGCAGAATGAAGGAGCTGGTGGTTCTCAGAAGGGAAGAGCGAAGGAACTGGACTGCTCCGTGACGGAGCCTGCAGCTGGAAAGGCTCTTCCGTGCCCCACGAAAAACTGTGAGGCCCAGCCTGCCTTAGTGACACACGCTGCGACAAGGACATCTCTGGAAATACAAAGCAAGGCTTTCCACGACCTTGCACGGGCCGATTATGCTCCGGTTCTCAAGGGAGGTGTAGAAGGTGAGCAAAGAGGCTCAGGTGAGGCCAGAGTGCAACCAAAACATCCCTCGCAGCCACCACCAGTCCCAGCCAAGAAAAGCCGGGAACGCCTTTCCAATGGATTGTGTCATCCTGCCGTGGCCACAGGCAGCAGCCACGCAAGCCCAGAAGCACCTTGCTTGCCGGTGAAAAAGAGCAGCCCGTCCAGCCCCACGGATTGCCACGGAGGCCCTGTCCATCGGACGCCCTCGGAGCAGGACCCCRGTGCCCCTCCTAGCCCGCTGCCCCCCTGGCTGGCTGAGCTGCCAGAGACTGCTAGTGTGCAGCAGCACGTGGTAAAGCTGGGGCCTGCTGCAGCAAGGAAAGTSTCTTGCAGCAGGGGAGTAGACCTGGAAATGGTAGTAGAAACCAAGCTGCAGGCGGAAGACATCGATCTCACTGAAGAGCCGTACTCAGATAAGGTATGAGCTGAGCTCTACTGCACCCGTTCGGCTCTGCTCCTGTTCCGGTGGCTGGGCTTTCCTTTATCATGTCTGACCCTTCTTGCAAGCAGCCAGCCTAGATAAATTGTAAACAATTAGACGTTCTCTACCTATTCCTACCTTTGCTTTCAGGGAAGGAAGGGATCCCCGATCTATTYAGAGTCTTCAGCTTTTCAGGCTTCTCAGTCCATGGTGGAGCTGGGCATGGAAGCTGAAAAGGAAGTCATGAAGAGATTTTCTCCTTCCAGGAGAATCTGAGTTGCCAGCCTAGAGATGAGAGTGTCTTTCAGGGAAGGATGGAGTTAGCCCATTCTAGGCCTGTGCTTTGGGGGCTGCTCTGTCAGGTTTCGTGGAGTAGTCAACGGCTARAATGCCTAAACACTGTTAGGAGGAGGAACAGAACATGGCTGGGGGAAGCCTCCTTATCAGTAAATAAGGCTTGTTTGTTTGGCCTTTTTCTGAACCCTCATCTACATCCTTAGAAGCAGCACTGGGCCTCGAGCAGACTTGCATGAATTTTGTGCTTCTGGGTCCTTCCGAGAGCTGAGCCGAGCTTGGGCATTTGACACATCTCAGGCCATAGAGGAGCACATCACTGAGCTTGTAGAAGCTCTGGGGCCTGGGGTGCGTGCCGATTCCAGTAACGCTGCAGATTGATCCAGATGTCTCCGGGGTTTAGGTGATGCCTGGAGGTGGGTGATCTGAATCAATCTCAGAAAGTTTGTGATGGAGCTACAAAGTAGGCAGAAAAGGGTGGCCCAACTTCAATGGCATCATGCTTAAGGATAAGGAGGTGTTMGTTTACCAGCGGGCCCCTTCCTGGTAGGAAGTGCATGTAGCTCTGTAAGAAGAAGAATAGAGATGAGCTTGAGCTGAGGAAAGATTGTCAGTCCCCAGGTGACTAACAAGTAAAAAAAAATAAATAAAAGAGTTGTGACCAAGGTAAGTAACTTGAGAAAAAATTTGTGATATAAACTGCCCTGTCGCTGCTTCCTTGCACTGATGTGAAGATTGGAGACTGGAYGGGAAATCTGGCCCTTCCCCTGCTAGGCTCTTCTTCGCTCTGTCATGTAGCCTCCAAAAGGACCCCAAAACAACTAGATTGACTGATTAAACCCATTAAACCAAACCTTCATAAACTATCCAGTAAGATTTCTGGTTACCAAAATCAATTACTGCCCAGGGGATGACAARTTTCACCAGAAATGCTGATGGTTGGTGTAGCCCTTGGGGACACCCCAGTTCAATAGACAGAAATGCTGTGGTTGGTTTCAGTCAGGCTGGAACTGATCTAAGGCTCATTAATGATTTACTGATTTTTACCTCCTCCCTACCAACGTCCTGTAGAGCTAAGTAAAATCTCTTCTTTTTATTTGTTTTTTGCGAAGTTTTGAGGAAACAAATCCCTTTGTTTCCACCTCCCACTTCTCCCCGTGTTTGCGTTGCTTGATCCGTACTGACAGGGTTTCCCTTTGCTCCCCTGTGCTGCCTGGGGACGCGCAGCACGGSCGCTGCGGCATTCCCGAGGCTCTGGTCCAGAGGTACTCTGAAGACTTAGAGCAGCCGGAGAAGGAGATTGCCGCCAACATGGACCAAATCCGGGTGAAGCAGCTGAGGAAGCAGCACCGCATGGCAGTGAGTATTGCTGTGAGCAGCCCGAAGGGGGACTGTTAATAACAGACTCTAACTGTCCTCCCCGCTGGGAGTGTCCGTGCCTCGCGCGTGTTGCGGCGTCAGGGAGGGCGCCGTGGGGACACGCGGTCCCCGTGCCGAGCCCCGGCTGCCCTCCCCACACGCTGCCTCTCTGCTGGCACTCGCTCACGCGGCCCACCTGCCTTTGCACAGCGGCACTGCGGAGGAAATCGGGTCCTCAGTTTCTCCTGATTCAACAGAAACGTCAGTTTAGCGCCTCAGGACATAGTTGGTTGAAGAAGGCAGTTCTCTGTGCAGTGAAGAATTCTCCCAAGACTATGATTTTTGATATAAGTAAATCAGAAAGGAGAAAAATAAGCCGTATCAGTGGGAATCTCTTAGGCTCCGTGTTGTCCAACCAGTGACAGCAATTAGAAGGCTGGCCGGATAGATGGGCAGTTTTCCCTGCTTGACTTGGTAAGAAAGTGGCCTCCTGAAGATTGATACGAGCTTGGCTTAAATTTGTAAAATACTAGCAGACAAATACATTGATTTGTTTTGTCTTCAGAACAAGTGTGGGTTGGAAACCGTAGCAGGGCTTGCCTTGACAGATCTTGAACTTGTGCCTGACTCCCCGAAAGKGGGGACACTCCCCACTGATGCTTAGAAAAAAAACACAGGAAGTCAGCAATGCATGCAGGTTACTTAAAAATGGTACATGAGCTAAAAACGGGACATTACAGTTACCCAGACAACAGGGTACTGCCCTGTGCATCTGCTTTCCAAAATTAGTGTGGTTGCTCCTGCTGCCAAGGACAGTGCCCAAGGCTTCCGAAGCCTTTCCACCCACACAGCGTTCTCATAGTGACAGATGTGCCACCAGACAAGCTGTCCTCTATCAAATTCTACCTGCTTGGAAGAAAATCAGAGTTTTGAAGTAAATGAAGCAGTTTTGTTTAAGGGTCATTTCCTTTCTTGTCTCTACGCAGATTCCAAGTGGAGGCCTCACTGAAATTTGCCGGAAACCTGTGTCCCCAGGACTTATCACTTCTGTATCTGACTGGCTGATTTCCATTGGCCTGCCCATGTATTCCAGCACACTCATAGAAGCAGGATTCAACACCCTGAGCAAAGTGCCTTCTCTGTCACAAACTTGCCTTCAAGAAGCTGGCATCACAGAGGAGAGGCACATAAGCAAGCTCCTGGCAGCAGCAAGACTCTTCAAACCTCTTGATCCAGAGGCAGTTCAACATGCTCCGTAACGTGGCATTGCTTGGTGAGGAACCCGCTGCTTCTTCCAGCACCAATATTGCCCTAATTACTTCATATAGCTAAAGGGATCAAGGAAGTGGCTCCCAAGGACAGGCAAGTATCTTCTTCAAAAGATATGAGATGTTTCTGTTGCTGTCTTTGGCAGCTGAAGGAGAAGAGAAGCAACCACCAAGTAACACARATGTGGTACTTCCCACTCCCCTGGAAAAGTGTTTTTGTTTCATAAAGTGCACAGGGTTGGCCTGAGACCAGACAGCTCCACAAAATTAAGGCACTCTTGCACATTTTCCAGAAATGTGCCAAAGTGATACTAATGATCGGCCCTGTTTCTGTAGAGAGCACCTGAGCTTGGGGGCTTTCATGGAATCATAGAGCCCTTACGGCTGGAAATGCCCTTTGAGACCATCGAGCCCAACCGTAAGCCTGTCAACCCGATGCCTGTTAAACCAGCTCCCTAAGCCCCGTCTCTCTGCACATCGAGGTCCCAGGTACCTGAGCTCGCTCCTAAAGACCACGTGCRGGGCCAGGTGCAGCCTCCAGTGGAGGCCGTTAGCCCTGGCCTCCTGCTCGCCTCCTGCTCAGTGTAGAGCCAAGTGCTTCTCCCTCTGCTCCTCTCGCTTGGTGTAGGGCCCCGTGGCCACAAAGCCCTTAGTGAGGCCAAAGTTAAGGGGCTGGAATTAGTTTACAGTGGGGTCCCTTTCTGTCACTCCGCTGCAACTAACCAGAGGAGGGTCAGAAAGCTTCTTTTTTATTTGTACAGAACTGAGGTTGTTTTTATAGCTGCTCTCTAGCAATCAGCTTTTTATTTGCCTTAAGACAAGCTTCTAAGCAGTTACCTAGTGTTCACTTACTCGTATGCATGTTTGCCAAGCCCTGCTTCGACCGGTCACCCTCAAGTTGCTTTTGGGGTGATTTGCAGCCGAAGAAGCTCCTGCAAGTTGCCTCATCACGTAACATCTGCCGTGTTGTAGAGCTGCTTTTACAAAGGCAGGGTTATGCTGTGCTCTGGTTTTCAGGCAAACTTCTTGTTCACTGCAGTCTGCTTTTACTGTTATTACTAAACTGTTCCAAGATATACTGCCTTGTATATATGTAACTGCTTCTCATTTTAATCATATTCTGTGTACTGTGTTATATTGTCAATCATTATGCTGCAGCATTGACTTGGTATCCTGACCATATCGATTCCAAACGATGGGTTTCTGCAAATGAAAATCTGCTTGTGGGAGAAAAAATGCATTGAAACAGCAACCTGTGTCCCGCAGAAATCAGCGTTAGAGCAAGTAATCCCTGTGCATGGACTAGCAAACAGAACAACACCCACAAACCCTGTTTCTATATATGAATGCCACTGTGATTTAACAACAGTTTATAACCCTCGTGACTGAGTGCTAGTATTTCCTCTCCCTGGAAGAGAGTGTTGTTCTGGCATACGTGGTGAGCCATTTTTCCATCATGGAATGCTATTTTCCTGCCGAAACCCGTGTAAAACGCTCCATTCACACAAGTGGCCRATGACAGATTTTATTTTTCTATATGGGTACACATTTTATATACCAAATACAGATTATGATAAACAGCATGTAACTAGCTTTTTCTTTGGGGCCTATACACAGCGTATAGGCCCCAACGTACACAGCGTTTGGGGCTTTAGCTCCTTGCAGTGCAAGTGCTCCGTGGATGGCGGAGTAGGGTTTACACTGGCAGGTGAAGGGAGATGAAGGCAGCGACCGGGGCCACCAAGCGCGCCCGTTTCCACACCAGTTACACACTTGCCCTGTGTAAAACTGTGCCAGTCCCTTCACCCTTTGGTGCCTCAGTTATCCCACGCTTACAAGGAGCTAATGACACGTCTCCTGATAAAGTGCGCTCCGACCTACGCCTGAAAATTCATGCTTACGGTGTGGTTTCTCTCARTGGTCTTCCCCTCATCATGTTCTGACTCAGATTACAAGTCGTAGTGCGGTGGATAATTTATTTGGCTCCTGGTGGGATTGCTAAGTGTTGGATTTATTTTCCTCGCTCGGGGTTTCAGCGCCTCCCGCCCCTCCTCGCCTCAGCGGAGTGTTCTGCGCACGCGGGTGAGCGAGCGCTCGGGGCCGTGAGGGCTCGTGCCAGGCCCAGGCCCAGGTCCAGGCCCAGGCCCAGGCCCAGGCCCAGGCCCGGGCCTCTCTGCGCTGCTCGCAGCAGCCGCCCGGGTGCCGGCACGCGTGTCACCGCGGCGGCGCTGGGGGAAACCTGCACAAAAAACATGGGTGTATTTTTAATAATAACAGCTTGTCTACTGCTCTGCTGGGAGGCCCACACAGAAGCTGCCAGGAGGCAGGAGGTGGGAGCAAGGGGGCAGTGAGACGCCCTGGGAGAAGTGGCCGGGAGCAGCAGCTGTTAGACATAAGTCGGTGGCAGCGTCCCCAGGCAAGGGGAAAGTCGGAATGGGCTGTGTGTGATAAAAGAGGAGAAGATCCTCTTGTTGCAAGGAAGGCGAGTAATAATAACTAATAAAGCTTTCCTTTGTTAATTACTGATAGGAACAAGCAGATCCTGTGCACCAAAAACACTATGCACCAAAGCGCGCGACTCCCCGTGCTGCTGCAGCCTGGGCCGGCCGGGCGGCACCGCAGGACACGCGGGAGCAGCCCGAGCTGCGGGAGCAGCCCGAGCCGCGGCGCTCCCAGACCCGCCTTGCTTTGGGGCGCTTCGGATCTGAAAGGCGCCGCGGGTCTGAAAGGCGCCGCGGGTCTGAAAGGCGCCGTGGGTCTGAAAGGCGCCGTGGGTCGGCGCTTCGGCCCGCGGCTCCGGCGGCTCCGCGGCACTCCAGCCCGGGGGGCTGTTTCACACCAACAGCAGCAGGGCCCACGTCCTGCACTGCCCCCTCGCCTGCCTTCACCCTCCATCCGTGCCCCTCTGCCACTGCCCGGGGAGCGGGGACATCCCGAGCTCCCCGCGCCCTTATCCCAAGCATTATCCGGCATCARAAGCACCAAGTACCACCACATTCAAACAGGGCCTCATCCCTAAGAGCRGCAACAGTGGTCGATTCACCAAGTCACAGCTGTGCAGTTGTACTGTATTATTTTTAGAATAAATAATACTTTTGCTCCAAGATGCTTCTGTCTTTAACTGACACCCTCTGGGGAATCAAACCTGACAAGCAAGTTACGTAACAACTAACAAAGTTGCACTTTCTGTATATGAAATCAATATTTAAATAACTTATTTTTCTCCATTTGCTGTTCTTAAATGATGTAAGTAGCTGTAATATACCAGTACTCAATATGTCCTGCAGTTTGCTTCAACCCAGGAAAGCTGTGTATTGTAAAGAAAAAAAAAAAGAAAAAACAAAATATGAATGTGTAAAGATTATTGTGCTGTTTCACTTAGCAAAAAAAAAAAATGGTTGACAAAAGGATTTTCCTGTGTATCAAAACTGTCTATAATTATATGTCATACTGTTCATAGATAAAAAGTAAATAAATTTCCTCAGTCTCTCTCCCTTTTCTTTCTGTTTATCTTTTTGCTGCTAGTGCAAAATATTTATTTTTTATTTTATATTTAATTATTTGCTCATAACCCAGGCCCCATCCCTGTAGTACACCATGCCTGCAGCGCCTCACCTTGCAGGTAGTCCCTGCATAGGCCTACAGCAGGGAAAAATCCAATAAAAACAGGCAAAAAGCCCTGGTAGGCCAGGGCCAGGAGCTGCCCCTAGGTGCGGTTGGGAGGGACGGAGACCCCCAGCAGTGACCGAGGTCCCCTGCTGTGCTTCAGTGAACGCTGGAGTTCCGAGGGTGGATGGGGGCACCACGGCRTGACAGGGAGAGCAACAGAGCCTGCACTTCTGGTGGCTCTCAGACGCCCCATCTCCTTCCGGAGCCCTCCTTCAAGGACAGGACTGGCTCCAAGCAGCTCCTGGGCATGGTGCTGGGAGGGATTTCCCCAGGAGGYGGTGGAGGAGCAGAGGTAGATGTTGCCTCAGTGCTGCTTCCACCAGTGCTGCTGCCTCGGGGCGGCTGCAGCGTTGCCTCTGCTCAGGCCGTAGCCACCTTTGGGTTCGGGGCTGTCGTGCGCAGCAGCGCCCCGCTGAGCAGCTCCTGGGCGTGCTGGGTCAGGGAAAGAGCCTCCTCCTCGGTTTGGATGGGCGCTCTGAAGGGAAAAGGGACCTTTCGCGATGGGGCCACGTGGCCCGGGCAGATGGCAAGTGCCCCCCGGGCAGCACCTGTGGCTGTGAGGAGCCGTTCCAGAGGTACAAGCAGCTACAGGGCAATCTCCGGCACGGGGAGAGCGCAGTTCCAGTCCCGAGTGAGCAAGGCTGTGAAGAGCAGAGCTCTGCACATGCCTTTGGTTGAGCTCAAGGTCCCAGCTCACTGGGAACTTCTGGGAAGGAAGGCATGGCAGCAGAGGAGCCCTGTGATGAGGCACTGAGCGCTCTGCACCGCTCTGCCTGGCACAGCTATCGCAGCTGGCCCAGCTGTGCCACCTGCAGCTCCCMGGAGCCCTGCTCACCGCCAGCCCCAGTGCGTCCTCCTCCCTGCGGAGCTGCCCGGCGCTCAGAAACATCCTTGCCCGGGGGCTCCTGACCTGCAAGCTGGAGCTCTGCGGCTGCGGCTCCAGGAGCACGTGGGCCTGTCCCGCTCTGGAGATGCCAGCTCAGGGAAACCCCCCAACTTTGCACAGCTCCTGCTGAGAAGCCCCCGGGGCAGCTGAGCCTGCRGTTAAGCACAAGAGGCAGAGCTTTTGTTTAGTGTTTAGTCTTTCCTTGTTCTAGTAAGGTTTACTGCATAATTAACAGGTACATTTAGCTGCCTAGCTGTCAAAATTCACCAGGCCACACTACACCGTGCCTACGAGTTAATCCCTTTAATGCACTGAGCCCAAAGAGACCAGGGTGGACTGCGCCTGAAGTAGTCTTCATTAGACAGAATCTTAAGGCTGGAAGTAAAGCAAGGAGAAAAAAAAGAAAAAGAAAAAAAAAAAAAAAAAGAGAAAAAGAGAAATCCATTTCTTGGGTTGCATCCAGACAACTGAATCCTCAGTTCCCCTTAGGCCGACGCTCTCATCAGAACTGTCCAACCTTGCAACCAGTTCATGGGAATGAAGTAGCATGTGGTAAAAATGTCAAATGTGACTTTTTAATTTCCCTTCCCTATTTCTATCCGGGGGCTGAGCCGGGGCYGCGCTCGTGCACCAGAGGGCACTGCTCGGCCGGCCCGCGAGCAGCGCGCGCGGCCCCGCGCCGGCGGCTGCCTCCGGCACAGGCCGCTGCCAAGAGTCTCTCAAGTAACAAAACAGAAATCCAAACAAAACAAACACGGGAGGACATGAGAAGCCAGYGCGCCTGCCATCTCTGCATCTGGAGGGAGAGCGGCTTCCCTTCCAAGACTGCTGTGCTCCAGGACCGCTTGGGGAGCAGCTCCAGCACAAAGCCCCTGTCTGTTGCGCTCAGCGTTTTCCTAGCGCTCTTCCATCCAAACGTGGCTGCCGGCCATGGCCACGGCCCAAAACAAACAAACAAACAAGAAACAAGCATGCATCTACTTATCCATATACATTATCTCTACAATGGAAAAAGGAAAAAGAAAAGGCACGGGAGAAGCACCTGTTAAAATCCCCCCTTAGCAGGTCTTCTAAAGCACAGCTTTTTCCCTCACCAAAGGCTCCCCTGTAAGGCCATGGAGAGTTAAGAGCTGGGAATGTAATGCTATGTACATTCCACCAGATCYACCTCACGGAGTAAAAGTTAATTGTTTAACAATCAGGAGCACAAAAAAGGTCTCATTAGATCTTAATGTTGCCCCTTTACATGTCCCACAGTCTTTTACTGAGCACAGACTGTTTCCCTTCACCCTTAATTTATCTTGAACTTACGTTGCATGATTCTGCCAACATACACAAGTACAGTGGTAACTTTCCCGACCTGATCCCACAGCTCTCTTATCAGTGCAGTTCTGTCACTTCAGTGGGTTTGGGCCTGTCTCCCTCTAGATGAGAAATTTTTACACACACGCCTGCAAGTGAACTTTAAATATTCTTCAACCAAAAGAAAAAAAAAAAARRAAAAAAAAAAAGCTTTCTGGGAAGTTTCAGAAATTTTCTTTCAAAGAATAGAATGACTCCTAGGTCTTACTTCCAGGGAACTGCAATGCTCAAGCTGGGGAGGTTCTGGGAATTCATGGACACCCCACATGGCTAAGGTCAAGCAGAAAGGCATCTGGTGGGATTATTTTCTTCCAAGGTCATACTTGGAAGGAAACATAAGTTTGGATTCCAGTTTGCAATTCAGCTGGCTTCACTGTTTATTTGATCCAGCCTTTTAACCTCTCCATGTCTGATACTAGTCTTTTGTGGGGTTGGAGAAGGAAGGTAGAATCCTGGCTTTTCCAAGAGAGGTCTCATCCCAGGCAAGGAAAGTTATTTTGCATGTCTGACAAGCACCACACTGGTTAGTTTGACATATTTTATTCTGAAAGCCCCACAAACTGTATTTCTCTATTTAGCCTCAAGAATCAAATCTGTGTGAGTTTCCTCAAACTCACCCTTACATGCAGACATACAAACATACCCTTATCYATGTCCACAAACCCCGCTTGAGGGGACATGTTTGAGCATGATACCATCATACTGTGTTATTTCTTTCACTCTTTGGCTACAGTGACTTTTGTGATAGTGAATATCTATTGTCACCAGGAAGTAAAAACCATCATCAAATTTTGGGCCCTGAGCTGTGAGTAATTCTTAAAGTTACAGTG